TCTGTCCAAATATGGTATTCGTGGTATGGTATGCAGAGTGACGTACATAGTTATAAATGAAATTTCAATGTATAAATGAGGCTTTTCTTTGAAGAAATGTCCTATTTTGCCCATAACTAGTAGAAAATGATCAGATATCAGGAAATATCTTAGAAATTCATTAGGAAATGATTAGAAAATTACAGACTGTAACATAAAGAGTTTTCTTGAACCGACGTTTTTTTATTTTTCTATTTTCTGGTATTTTAGAACCAACTCGAGACAGACATTGTTTTATATCTTAGAAGTAACTGACGAGAGACAACACAGAGCACTGACACCACTGAATGTATCTGTATGATGTTTATTCTGTATGATATTGTAGATAATACAAAGCATCCAAAAGGCAGAACACACAAGGATCTGTTGCACCAGGTTCAGGCTCAAACTGATTCCATTTGAAAGCAAAATCTTTGATTACTACTTGCACATGAACACTAAAATCATTCCTATATTGTAGCAAACATGTCAAACCTTTCACAATATTTGACTTGATAAAACAACAAACACAGCAGTAACGTTCTCCAGACTGGCAGGTCGGTTTAAAAGGAGTTTTCATCCAAGTTTTCATGATGCCCTGAACCCAGGAGAGACTTGGATCCACGCAGATGCGACGAGACTTTTGTGTCACAAAACTGAAAGAAAGAGGATGAATATTGTTATTATCATATTGATGACTTACAGTATTTAAGAATATATATATTATAATATTATCTTAAAGAGTTTAAAAAATAAGTAAAAAGAGAACATAAGTAAGAGAAAACTACTTTATTTTCTGGATGAAGTAATTACAGACAGAAATAGCAAAGTAGTATAGTACAGTTGCTCTGTAGGATGCCAATTGCACATTAAAACAGTAGAATATAGACACCCAAATTAGGAAATTTATTATGATAATATGATGATAAATAAAGTGTATATCAACAGAAAATGAACATTTAGGCTTTGTAGTGTGCAGGATGTGCAAAATATGCATGTCCATGAAGTGTAACTCAATGTGTAAATTCATGTATTAAAAGTCACTCTTACCCTTATTTAGGTCATTGTGTTAAAAACGTATTCATAATGAAGAAAACCTTACATGACTCCAGTCTTCGGGCAACGGAAATCAGTCACGTCATATGAACTGATGAGGCTCCTCTTCACTCGTCTTGGGTAGAAAGTGAAGCAGCAGTTGTCAGGACGGATGGCAGCTGAAGGAAAAGAAAGTCAAACACTGTAGCATCAGGGAGAAGTAGCACCTCTAGCACAGAATATATGTAAAATAAAAAGAAATAAATAAAATGTAAGGATTCCTTACCGTTGCAGGCCACCAGGGAGACAAGTGTAGCTCCCAGCATGCAGAGCAGAAGGATGTGGAAGGTCCTCATGATGACTTGATATTCTTCAGAGATGACGGATATTAACACGACCGCTCTTTAACTGCAGTAAAGGGTTCTAAAAGAAATATGTGGTGAGGTGGTACATTTATCAAGATCAACCTTTTTTATTTTTTTTTAAAAGGTGTTGGTCGGTTGTGGTGTCAACTCTTTCCTCTACACTCGGTTTTGCAGATGCAGAGGAAATCGAATTGTGGTTAGCTCAAAGCATACACACACACACACACACACACACACACACACACACACACACACACACAAACATATATATATATATATATATTAATATATATATATATACACTACCGTTCAAAAGTTTGGGGTCACTTAGAAATTTCGTTATTTTTAGAAAAAAAACAGTTTTTTCAATGAAGATAACATTAAACTATCAGAAATACCTCTATACATTGTTAATGTGGTAAATGACTATTCTAGCTGCAAACTCTGGTTTTAATGCAATATCTACATAGGTGTATTAGAGGCCCATTTCCAGCAACCATCACTCCAGTGTTCTAATGGTACATTGTGTTTGCTAATTGCGTTAGAAGGCTAATGGATGATTAAAAAACCCTTGAAAACCCTTGTGCAATTTATGCTTAGCACAGCTAAACACAGTTTTGCCTGGTTAGAGAAGCTATAAAACTGAACCTTCCTTTGAGCTAGTTGAGAATCTGGAGCATCACTATTTGTGGGTTTGATTAAACTCTCAAAATGGTCAGAAAAAGAGAACTTTCATGTGAAACTCGACAGTCTATTCTTGTTCTTAGAATTGAAGGCTATTCCATGCGAGACATTGCCAAGAAACTGAAGATTTCCTACAACGGTGTGTATCACTCCTTCAGAGAACAGCACAAACAGGTCTCTACACAGAGTAAGAAAAAGAAGTGGGAGGCCCCGCTGCACAACTGAGCAAGAAGACAAGTACATTAGAAGTTTCTAGTTTGAGAAAATAGACGCCTCACAGGTCCTCAACTGGCAGCTTCATTAAATAATACCGCAAAACGCCAGTGTCAACGTCTACAGTGAAGAGGCGACTCCGGGATGCTGGCCTTCAGGGCAGAGTGGCAAGAAAAGCCATATCTAGACTGGCCAATAAAAGGAAAAGATTAATATGGGAAAAGAACACAGACATTGGACAGAGAAGATTGGAAAAAAGTGTTATGGACAGACGAATCAAAGTTTGAGGTGTTTGATCACACAGAAGAACATTTGTGAGACGCAGAACAACTGAAAAAGATGCTGGAGAGTTGACGCCATCTGTCAAGCATGGTGGAGGTAATGTGATGGTCTGGGGTTTGCTTTGGTGCTGGTAATAAGTGGGAGATTTGTACAAGGTAAAGGATTTTGAATAAGGAAGGCTATCACTCCATTTTGCAACGCCATCCATACCCTGTGGACAGCGCTTGATTGGAGCCAGTTCCTCCTACAACAGGACAATGACCCAAAGCACACCTCCAAATTAATGCAAGAACTATTTTTAGGGAAGAAGCAGGCAGCTGGTATTCTATCTGTAATGGAGCGGCCGGCCGCAAGTCCACAGATCTCAACCCCATTGAGCTGTTGTGGGAGCAGCTTGACCGTATGGTACGCAAGAAGTGCCCATCAAGCCAATCCAACTTGTGGAGGGCTTCTGGAAGCGTGGGTGAAATTCATGGAAAACACAGAATTGTCTGGTGACCCAAACTTTTGAACGGTAGGTGTATATATATATATATATATATATATATATATATATATATAGAGAGAGAGAGAGAGAGATAGAGAGAGAGAGAGAGAGAGATTATACAATTCTCTGAACTCTACTGGAGGGATGAACACCATTCTCCACACAGGTGTTCCATTGTGTTGAGATCTGGTCAGTGTGAAGATCTGACATCAGGATTTAGTTCAAGCACCATTGGCAGCGATTACAGGCTCAGCGTTCTTCTGCGTAGGACGAGCGAGCTTTGCTGGATTTGCAGATCCTCTCAGGCTCTGTCGGGTTCGGACGGGGATGTCAGTGGACAGACATTTTCAAACCTCTCGTTCAGCTTCCACGTCTATCTGTCCATGTCAAAACCACCCCCACAGCCTGTGCTCGCTCCGCCATGCTCTCACCGTTGGACGTGCTCGGCAGGTGTAGAGCGCGCTGGTTTCCTCCAGACATGGCTCAGAACTGAGGCCAAACAGTTGAATCTTGTTTCTCACAGTCTGAGAGTCCTTTAGGTCCGGGGCACGCAGCTCTTCAGACTCAGACGTCGCTGCATAAATCCTTCATCTGGTTCAAATATAGAGCTGAAAACAGATCTGAAATTCAGTTGTAAAAATGTCGCTTAAAACTAGCACAACTCAACAAAACATTTAACACAGGTCTTAGTCATTTCTAGACGTTTTGATGAGGAAAAGTT